GGAAAATCTTAAAAGTTAATTACGAAGAATTTGATTATGAGATCAAAAGTATACACTATATTCTACAATTTTATCTGAGTAACACCTGAAGTCAGATTAAGTTTCCTTAAGTGTACTATGAGCAAGTTAAGAGAATATTCTGAAGTAAAAACAATATTAAAACTGAGCATAGCAGCAAAGCAAATGTAAATGACAATTTTTCAGTTTACTATGAGTCATTCTAAAATGTAAGAATATTGCAATCTTCTCTACCTTCAGCTTCTGATTTTATACTTCCTCCAGATTCTCCAAATGGATTTGTACGCCTGAAGTTTAGGAAAAAATAAAATGTTCAGTCACCATGAGTCACATTGCAAGAAATCTAACTGAAACCAAAGTTTAAAACTGAATCACAAAACTTTACACATATATTTACATCAAAAATGCCCTGCTCAGTCATGAGATGCCAAACTACTATGATGCAAGTGCCATCCTCCACACTGCTTAATTAAGGCCAAACCATGTTGCTGTTTCTCTCTTTCAGCCCTATGTTACTGCATTTTAGAAGGCACAACTAATTGGAAGTTTAGCCACATACAACAAATCAGATCAATAATAAACTACCTTGCCAAAGTTTTTGTTGTTGTTGTTTTAACAAAACAAATTGCAGGTTTATTTAAAAAGGAGGGAGGAGAGAGCAGAGAGGCAACAGTCTTTGCCAAAGTTTTTAATTAAAATCAGCTACCATAGTGGAAGAATGACTCAGCTACACTCATAGAGGCTTGAGAAAAATGCCAGGGGTTTCCTGGAACTGTAAAAACTTCAGTTTTGGTTAAATACAAGTTTCAAGTTCACTATAAAGATTTAACATTTTCTAGTTCTAAATGTATATTTTTTTTAACCTGTACTTCCTAAGGTTGAGTGCATACATACTAACTCCTAAGAGTGCTTGCCTAAGATATATAAAGCCTGGGTTTGATCCTCCAGCACCACAAACAAAACAAAACCCTGTATTTCTCAAGGCAAAAGTAACAATGCAAGGAGAAAAGTGAACTAGAGATAGAAGCTACCTTACAGTTCTTAGCTTGTGACACAAACACAATGTTGGGCAGGAAATGTACAATTCAAAGTTAAGTCTTGAAAGCAGATTGCAAAGTTGCTCTAAATAATGCTGGCATTAAGATTACAGGACAGGGGCTGGGAAGATGGCTCAGTTAGACCTGAGTTCCATCCCTAGAACCCAGGTTAAAAAAGTCAAGTGTGCCAGGCGGTAACACATGCCTTTAACCTCAGGCAGAGGCAGGTGGATCTTTAAGGCCAGCCTGGTCTGTAGATCAAGCTCCAGGTCAGTCAGGACTACACAGTGAGATCCTGTCTCAAACAAACAAACAAAAAAAGGCCAACGGAATTGCACACTTGCAATCCCAGTACTAGGAAAGCAGACAAATAGATCCCTGGGGCTCCTTGGATAGTCAGCTGACTTGGCAAGCTCCAGGCCAGCGAGAGATCTTGTATCAAGGGAAAAGTAGATAGTTGAGGAATGGTCCCTAGGAACAACACCTGAATCATCCTTTGGCCTCCATACACATGTGCATAAATGTGTGTTCACCTGCACACACATGAAAACACACACACATCAAAAATAAAAGCTATTGATGTCTGTAATACAGGTCTGGAGTACTAGCATTTGTGCAAGTAAGCATGCTTAGTATATTTCTATAAATGACTTTTTCTTGATTGTACCCATCTCATATCCAAATTAATTTATTAAGTGCCCAACCTACTTAATAAATGATTTGCCATAGTCCTATTTCCTTCATCTATACAAAAAAAAATTGTTAAAACTTACAAGATTATTCTTCCTTATTCTAGCCCAGACTGGCCCTGAATTCTCTATGTAGCCAAGGATAACCTTAAACCTCTGAATCAATCTCCTGCATCCAGGACTACAGGTATGAGCTAAACATGTCTGGTTTTTCTGTGGTGCTAGAGATTAAATCCAAGGCTTCATGCATGGTAGGCAAGCACTCTACCAAGTACATCCTAATCCCATATTTGGTATATTTTTAATACACCTATAATACATGTATTATACTACAGAATTTTTAAAATAGTGTCTCAAACTAAAGATAGAACTATCAACTTTCTCATGCAACGGTTAGAGCAAATGCCCAAGAAACAGACTTGATAAGCAATTCAGAATTAGATATTTTTGAATTCTGATTACCCTAACACCGTTAACTGATGCAGAAGAAAAACAGAAAAACCTGCATAGCTCTATTCTCACTATTAAAATGCTATTAGACAATGACACAAAGGACATCACAGCTGATGCATATGATGTCTAAAGATAACTCAGATGTAGAAATAGAATCATAGATCTTGTAAATCACAGAACAAAGTCCCTGTGCTGTCATTACTTACCTGCCTCCTTGGCCAGAAGCTTTTGCCTGTCCAGGCTGATCTTCACACACAGGAGAAATTATATCAAACTGTATTGGCGTATCTGGGGCAACCAGAGAATCTAGAGAAAGAGCAGCCAAGTTTGTGGACTCTGATCCTAAGGATCCAGAACTACTAGTTCGAGCTGTTGGTGGTCGAGATTGTCTAAGAAACAAAGAAAAGAAGGCACTGAATTTAGCTTTCTCTTTCAGAAGTTCAACGTGCAGCAGATTATGAAAAAACAAAAACAGAATATTTTAAGTCAATGAGAGAATAAAGCAAATTCAATAAACTTCAATAAAATTTCAATAAAAACAGTCCCAAGGCATGAGGCACTTGTCTGTAATCCCAGCACTCAGGAGGCAGAGAATGGACAATCACAAGTTCTAGACCACCCTGGTCTACAAAGTTAGATCCTGTCTCAAAAAATAAAATAAAAACATAATTCCAAATCATAGTTCTTTATTTAATAACAGATTTCTTTCTTTCCCATTATTAAACATGAAAGGGGCTGGAGAGATGGCTCAGCAGTTAAGAACACTGACTGTTCTTGCAGAAGACCCAGGTTCGAATCCCAACACCCACATGGCAGCTAACAATTGTCTGTAACTCCAGTTCCAGGGGATCCGACAGCCTCTTCTGTCCTCTGCGGGCATTGCACAACACAGGTGCACTCACCTACATGCAGACAATATATGCATACACATAAAATTAAAAAAATAAAAATAAAAAACATGAAGCCAGGCATGGTAGTGTACACCTTTAATCCCAGCACAGGAGGAAGAGGCAGGTGGATCTCTTCAAGATCAAGGTCAGCCTGGTTTACATAGCAAGTTCCAGGCCAACTGGGACTACAGGGAGACCCTATCTTTAAAAGAATGTAAATGCGCGCGCGCGCACACACACACACACACACACACACACACACACACACACACACACACGAACTGGAACTAGGGAGATGGCTCAGTTGGTAAAGTGTTTGCTGTGTAAGCAGGAGGACATGAATTTAGATCCTCAACACTCATGTATAAAAGCTGTCTGTGGCAGCGTGCACCTGCAGCCATAGTGCTGAGGACACAGAAACAAGAAGATCCCTGGAACTCACTGGCCAGTCACCCTAGCCAAATCAATGAGCTCCAGGTTCAGTGAGAGACCCTGCCTGTCAAAATAAGGTTCCCACCTTGTTAATCTCTGTCCTCAACAGGCACCCACACACCCATGCATGCACACCTGTACACACAGATGTGTGTATCCACATGCACATGTACACGCATACACAGAGACCCACAAAAACACAAAAACAAAATCATAAATAATAATCTCAGTCTAGAGGTTTATCTGGACAATCTAGGGAAATAAATTTATTTATTTAGCCCCCTTATTAGTAAATTTCTCATTTTGAAAATATGTATTCAGAGAACTATTTAGTACTAATCTAAGTGGTACTGCTAAAATCAAAGTGCTCACTAACATTTTAAATAGCTCACATTGTTCTTTAAATAACCCCATGTGCTAACTCACCCTGCTGGACGCAAGCTCTCATGTCTCTGCTGGAAAGATGGGGAAGGAGTAACAGCTTCCAGAGCACACTGATTTACTCGTGCAGCAGTTTCCTGTTTTGATTTTTTCAAAAAAAGGATTAGAATTAATAAGAAACAAAAAGTTTGATATAACTCTGAATTGTCAGTATGCTCTTATGTTTAAAATATAAATTAGAGCTACTAAGGTATTTCCACATGCAGGCTGTTCGGGCTGCATCATTACAGATGTACCAAAATCATAACATGTATCTGGAACAAGATTCACAGGTGATCTGAGTGCACACTTCAGTTTCTATAGTCTTTACCAAGAATCTTTTTTACACACTAGTTTTCATCCACATACCATTTCTGTATTTGAGCTTTTATTTTATTGTATTATTCGCAATACCTTCTTTTTCCTTAAAATACAAACAAATCTTAGCTTGAGTTTCCAGCATCTCTGCAAAATTTTCTCTAAGGCTAAAGTACTCATTGATTCTAACAATCTCAGACTGTAAGCCTGTAAATGATCATTATGTGCATTCCTTACCACATGCGTCTGATCACATCCTGTTTTGTATGACATGTTACACAGTCTTGGTTTTGCCTCACCATATTGATAGTTCCTAGAGGGAGGAAGCCATGGATTCTTTTTCTCCTACATTTTACCCACTCCGTGGCACCCAGTTATTTGTTGACTGGTTTCAATTATTGTGAAATAACATATTGTTCTGAGACAATCAGACCCTCATGCATGATATACTACAACTACCCAAACCAAATCATACAGATTCTGAACTTGAGATTATAGAATTTGAGAAGTTGTAATTTAATTAATAAAAGCCATGTAAGCCACAAAATTACTTCATTTTGGGGCTGGAGAGATGGCTCAGCAGTTAAGAACATGTACTGTTCTTCCAGAGGACCTGAGTTCAACTCCCAGCAACCAGGTCAGATGGCTCATAATGGTCTGTAACTGCAGCTCCTGGGGGAATCCAGCATCCCTGTCTTCCACAGGCACCCGCACTCATGTGCACATACCCACACAGAGAAACACACATATACACATAATTAAAATAAATCTTAACACTCGGGAGGCAGAGGCAGGCAGATCACTGTAAGTTCAAGGCCAGCGTGATCTACATAGGGAGTTATAGGCCAGCAGGGGCTACAGAGACACCCTGTTTCAAAAAGACCAAAAAATAAAAAAATAAATCTTTAAAAAATTACTTCATTTTGGGGCTGGAGAGATGGCTCAGAGGTTAAGAGCACTGACTGCTCTTGCAGAGGACCGGGTTCAATTCCCAGCACCCACATGGGGCTACGAATCGTCCTTAACTCCAGTTCCAGGGGAATCCAAAGCCCTCTTCAGACCTCCACGGCATTGCACGACACAGGTGCACTCACATACATTCAGGCAATACACTCATACATATAAAATAAAAATAAGAAATAAAATATTTTGAAAAAAATACAGTGCCGGCAATCAAGCAAGCACGCTCGTGTGCTAGGCCAGCCGGCATTCTCTCTCTCTCTCTCTGGCCTACATTTCAGGCCAAGAAGAACCATCCTCATTTCAGCTGTTCTGTTCCCATTCTTAAAAGAAAAACAACAACAAAAAAAATGCAGCTCCACCCTCGTACTTTCCCTGCTCCTTGGGCTGGGGGGCGGGTAGAGGAAATCTTCGGCTCCCAGCTATGAAAAAGGAAAAATACAAAAGTATGATTAATAATGTTCTTTTCAACAAAGAAAGTTTCTCTACTAAGGGAAGCTATTCACTATTCAACTGAAACAGAATTTTCATTAGAAGCAGCACAAATCTTTATAAGAAAATACCTGGGGTGGGGTATAGCTCAGTGGTTAATCACATGCTTAATAAAATGTCTGAGATCCTGGGCTCAATCCCCAGCACCATGAACAAAACAAAATGGAAACACCTTGCTGTAAAGCATATGCACGTAAAACATAAGTTTATTTATACAAGAAAATAAAAACTAATCATGCTACATCATAACTTAATAGTCTCATTTATCTTTTTATATTAGTTCCTCCTTAATTCCACCAAACATGATAGTCTGAACTCAGAAACCATAATTAATATTTATGTGAAAAAATTAACACATATCTTTCTGGTGAATGTATTTTATACATCTCCCTTCTTTCAACACACAGAACACTCTTATCACCATCTGCTTCACTTTCTAGGATTCCAGTGCCTGATGGACATTAAGAAGCTAATATTTTGTTGGGTAAACCATGCAGAGAGCAGAAACATCTGTGTTCCTCAGAGACCAAGAGCAAGTACCAATATGAACTCTTTTCCATGATCTCTATATAATTTCCAATTCTGTCTTTTATCAGCAAAATCATAATACTAGATAAAAAGAATCAAAAGCAAGCTCTGGCTTATTTTTATGGAAGAACATTTCTGAAAACACTAAGTATCAGTCCTGGACAGTACCTTACCTTCCATATGTGAAATACCAGAAGTAAAACTGGAGCCACAACTAAAAGGCTTGTGAGAAAGAACAGGGCCTCCCAAATTTTTGTTTTTCTGTCTTTCATTTCCCCAAAGTTTAAGCTTTAGTTGCTTCTTGTACCACATCTGCTGCCACTGTGTTCTTAGTGCAGCAGTGTCTCAAAGGCTAGTGAAAGCAGAGTGTAAACTGTCACCTCATGATACTAACAGCCTGCCAGAAGCAACGCTAACAAGGTCACTGCCGAATATAGTCCTTTAAGACAGTGAAGACACGAGGTCTAAGGTCCCTCCAACTATAAAATTGTATAAAAAAGTTAAAATATTACTCAGAAAAAATACTTTAAAACTGACTTTTGTTTTACTAGGATTTTCCCAAATTTTCTCTAATGAATACATTAAGTTTTATCCTCAGAAAAAATATTTTTAAATATTGCTGAAGAAATTAACTAGGGGGCTGGAGAGATGGCTCGGTGGTTAAGAACACTGGCTGTTCTTACAGAAAATCCAAGTTTGAATCCCAGCACCCACATGGCAGCTAACAACGATCCTCAACTCCAGTTTCAGGGACTCCAATGCCCTCTTCTGTTCTCCACAAGCACTGCACAATATGGATGCATAATACTCATACACACAAAATAAAAATAAATTAAAAAATAAGAAATTAACTAGATATAAAATTTTACCTCTTCATGGTCTTTTTTACTCTCTGCTTGCAAAATTGAAGATCTAAAGGAAAAAGAGGGAAAGTTTTAATATCAACTTTAAAATTAAAAAGAAAAAAACATGGGTTGGTACAATGGCTTAGCAGGTAAAGGCACTCGCCACCTAACCTGAGAACCTGAGTTCAATCCCCAGAACCTACATGGTGGAAGGAGAGAGCCAACTCCCAAAGGCTTTACTTTGACCTTCACCTTTCTCTCTCTCTCTGACTGGTGTACTTACTGTTTGTCTGTCTGTCTGTCTGTCTGTCTGTCTGTCTGTCTCTCTCTCTCTCTCACACACACACACACACACACACACACACACACACACCCTCACAGACATATACACACACAATAATAAACAACAAATGAACAGAAAAAAACAAAACATAACTGACAGTCTCTTAGGAAAAGAGACCACCAGAAGCATCAGGATTTAAGACTTAACAACTCTGCATGGCTGTCTACATCAAGATGTACCAAAATCAAATAGTTCCTAGGCCACAGAAGACAGAGCATGATGGTAAGATACTCCATTTCAACTTCCTGACACTTCTATCAGTGATCTAACTAGAAAATACTAACTTCATTATTGATAGTTTCTCCTTTAACAGAGATAAATTCAATTTCCAGTATGTGAATCACTAACAAGAAACACATGGCTTTTCTGTATGTAGTATTTTAAGAGAAAAACTAATTTTTACTAATTTTATATCACATCAGGAATTTAAAAAATGGAAATCACATCAAGCATTAGCAAAAACTAAAAATACAGGAGCTGGAGAGGTGGCTCAGCAGTTGCAGAGAACCTGGGTTCAGTTCCCAGCACCCACAAAGCAGCTAACAATCACCCGTAACTCTAGTTCCAGGGGACCCAACACCCTCTCCTGGCCTCTGTAGGCATTACATGCACATAGTACATTTATATACATGCAGGCAAAATACTCATACACATAAAAATAAATTTTTTTATAAAATTTGTTAACTAAAAAGACAGAGATGTAAACAGTGGTAGTAATCTATTAGTAATCTGTTTGTTTTGCTAACTGAATACAGGGACTCTGAAGTTACAGCATTGACAATTCATTGTATATCTATAGAAGGAATGGGAAAATATCTTAGTGTACATAAATATATAATTACTTTCAGGGAACCTAAAAGTTCTTCCTAAACATTAAGAAAATTCAAAGGTCAAAATCAATCACCACTAATCTAAACATCCATCATTAGGAAAATGTTTTAATTATGTTGCATGTTTCTTAAAAGATCACAATATACCAGTTATAAAATGTTTTTTTTGTTTGGTTTGGTTTGGTTTGGTCTTTTTGTGACAGGGTGTCTCTGTAGCCCCAGCTATCCTGGAACTATGTAGACCAAGCTGGCCTTGAACTCAGAGAGATTCGCCTGCCTCGGCCTCCCAAGTATTGGGATTAAAGGCGTGTGCTACCACACCCAGCTTAAAATGGTTTATTAACTACTTTAAATTATGTATCTGAAAGGAGGTATGCAGGCATGTCAGTGCCCTCAGAGGCCAGAGGTGTCAGATTCCCTGGAGCAGGAGTTACAGGTAGTTGTGAGTCACATGACATGGGTGCTGGGAATTGAACTTAGGTCTTCTGGAAGAGCAGTACATACTCTTAACTGCTGAACTATTCATGCCCCTGAAATCTTTTTCAATTAGTAGATGCAGATTGACTTCTGTTTGCAGTTGTTCAATTATTTTTTTAATGTATTTTATTTAGTATTTTTAATTTATGTGTATGAGTATATTTGCCTGCATGTATGTGAGTGCACCGGTGTAGTGAAATGCCTCAGAGGTCAGAAGAGGGTATAGGATGCTCCTGGAACTGGAGTTAAGGATGGTTTGGAGCCGCCATGTGGGTGCTGGGAATCAAACCCAGGTCCTCTGCAAGAGCAGTCAGTGCTCTCAACCACTCAGCCATCTCTCCAGCCACCTATTCTTCAATTATTTAAAAAACATACTTGGAGGCTAGAGAGTATGGCTCAGTGGTTAAGAGCACTAACTGCTCTTGCAAGATGACCGAAGTTCAGTTCCCAGAGCCCACATCGGGGCTAATAACCATGCATAACTTCAGCTCCAGGAAATCTGATGCCCTACCCTGGCTTCTGAGAGCACTGCACGCACAAACACACTTCCATACATTCAGGCAAAACACTCATGCACATAAAATTTTTAAAAAATAAGTGTTTTAAAATGTACTTGGGCCAGACATGGTGGCATGTCTCTAATCCTAAAATACTTGGGAAGCTGAGGTAAGAGAACAAGTTGAAGGCCAATCTGGATAACTTATTGAGAAAATATCTCAAAACGAATGTTATAAAAGAGCTAGGGATGTAGCTCACTGGTACAGTATTTGCCTAGACTTCCCAAGAGTCTAGGTTCATGATGAGGGAGACTAGAAGGGGGGGAGGGGAGGGATTCAGGATAAAAACTAGAAAGCAACAAACAAAAAAATATTGCTATTCATTAATAAAATTATAGGATTTTTCCATACTCTTTTTTCTAAGAATGCTTTTAAAGATTCTCATTTAATGTAAAGGTAACTGGATTTTTTAAAGGGAATGATAAATAATGGACAAAACAACCTGATCAGAAGTATCAGATTAACATTTCAAAATAAAATTATTGTTAGAACCTACACATCACACATGAGCAGCACATCATACATGTAAAGTGTCTGTCTATTCCTCATGACAATTTACAAAGTACAAATTATATTACAACTCTTCTGCCTCCATTTGATATGTAGAAAAAAACAGAAACTACAAAGTAACTTATTTAAGACCAGGGTAGGGGCTGGAGAGATGGCTCAGTGGTTAAGAGCACTGGCTGTTCTTGCAGAAGATCTAGGTTCAAATCCCAACATCCACATGGTGGCTAAAAACTATTCGTAACTACAGTTCCAGGGGATCTAACATCCTCCTCTGACTTCTGTGGGCACTTACATAATGCAGGCAATACACTCTTACACATAAAATAAAAAAAGATCACAGAGTAAATAATGGTGCCAAAGTATGAACTTCACAGCTACATAACTGACACTCTTAGACTGCCTTCCTAATACTATGTAGGATTTTTCAATCATCAGTCTCTTAACATGAATTCATAGGTTCATACCATTTGTTGCTTTGACAACCTCAAAGTATTAAGAAATCATTTTAAGGGGCTGGAGAGATGGCTCAGCAGTTAAGAGCACTGACTGCTCTTGCAGAGGACTGAGGTTTGATTCCCAGCACCACATGGCAGCTAACAACCGTCAATAATAACTCCAGTTCCAGGAGATCCAACACCATCTTCTGACCTCTGAGGGCACTGCATGACATGGGTGCACTTACACACATGCAGGCAGTACACAAAAAATAATAAAAATATTTTTTTAAAAATCATTTTAAGCCAGGCATGGTGGCACAAGCCTGTAGTCCCAGCACTTGGGAGGCAGAGACAGGCAGATCTCTGTGAGTTCAAGGCCAGCCTGGTCTACACAGTGAGTTCCAGGACAGCTCGGGCTATAGGGAGACCCTGTCTTAAAAAGACCAAAAAAAAAAACCATTTTAAAAATTAGAAAAATAATTGAACTCAGAAAGCAAATTACCTTCTATATGTAGTATATATAAATGTCTATATTCTAACAAAAGAACAATCCTCCATTGCAATTATAAATGCTACATGCTTTATTAGTAGCAGAAAAAAATACTAACTTTTTTCCATCAAAAGAAGTGATCTGAAAACAGTATCGTCTGTCTTCACAGTCCACAGCCATCACTGAACAGTTGTCTATGTCCATGGCCAGGCCTCCTGCCACATCTCCACGGGCTTGACTCATTAAGTTTCCACCTTGTGTGAAGTAAAACTGTCTATCCCAGGTAGACGACACCAAGCCTGTTTTACTAAATAAAGAAAATAAATTGACATTTTAATAATGACACACCTAAAATTCCTTTATTATCAGCCAGACACAAGATAAAGCATGTCACAAAGAACCTCCAAAAAGACACCAAGATGCTAAGGAGTACATCACTTTTTCAGATTTTAAGATGCTTTTAGATTTGTTGACTCAGTTGTGTGAATGAACACGTGTACTGTTTCCAAAACAAGACTGGAGAATATTAAGTTGCAGCTATTTTAATGATAGATAGTTCAATATTCCAAGGGAAAAATTCAATTTTATTTCTAGGGTTAATCTACTTCATCATCTTATCATCAAGTAAAGGCTGAAGGTACAGCTCAATGGTAAAGCTCTTGCTTGGCATGCTCAGGAGCTTGGGTTCCAACCCAGCACTGAGAAATTAAAGGGAAATTAAAGGGAAAAAAAAAAAAAGCTTGGCCTATCTTCAAGTGAAAACTCAAATCTGACTTGATGCTGTAATCACATATTTTGTTAAGTACCATAGATGATATTTAATAGCATCCACTCACATGTTATGAGAGATTTATTTAAATTCAAATTGGTTTTATCTCTTTTACAACTCCATTCAATAAACATTAAGGTAGGATTTAAAAATTATTCACATACTTCCATTTGTCAACAAGCTATACACCACTAAAAAGGTTCAACCTTTAATAAAACCAAAACAATAAATCTTACATTTATTTGGTATTACCTTATAAGACATGCTATATGAAAATGACAGTAATTTTCTTACTTCCTAGTATTTAGGTATCCAGCCTTTCGAGTTAAATTTCTATTAACAGGAAACTTGGTGGGGTCTGGGTCAGGCACATACAAAGGGTCACTGGCTACTTCCAAATCCTCTATTGTCTGTTGCATGGTCTCTACGTCGCAATCCATTTCCCTGCGAACACTAATACAGAGAACAGATTAGTTACTATTAGTCACAACCAACAAAGAATTCTTTACCAATCCATTTTGCTTATATTTTTTTTTCAAATTTTTTTTAAAGAAAGAGACAGTAGGGTCTGGAGAGATGGCTCAGCAGTTAAGAGCACTGACTGTTTTTCCAGAGGACTGAGGTTTGATTCCCAGCACCCACATGGCAGCCAACCATTGTCTGTAACTCCAGTTCTAGGGTATTCGCCGCCCTCTTCTAACCTCAGTGGGCACTGTACAACATGGGTGCACTTACATCCATGCAAGCAATAAATATATTCATACACATAAAGTAAAACTAAATAAAATATTTTTTAAAAAAGGAAAGGAAAGGAAAGGAAAGGAAAGGAAAGGAAAGGAAAGGAAAGGAAAGGAAAGGAAAGGAAAGGAGGAGGGAGGGAGGGAGGGAGGGAAGGAAGGAAGGAAGGAAGGCAGGCTGGAAGGCTGGAGAGATGGCACAGTGGTTAAGAGCACTGGTTGCTCTTGCAAAGGACCCAGGTTCAATTCATAGCACCCACATAGCAGCTAACCACCATGCAAAACTCCAGTTTCAGGGAATCTGATGCCCTCTTCTGTCCTCCAAGGCACTGCACAACACAAATGCACTTAGATACATGTAGGCATAACACTCACACACATAATGAAAAAAAAAACAAAAGAAACTTTTTTTAAAAAAGTAGTATAGGTGGTTAAAGTAACATAAATTCATAAAATCATTTTAAACACTCTTGAAATTTAGGAATTTTGGAAACAATACAAATTTGAAAACTAATGAAGTGACTGGATACCTAACTGCAGAATAATTTTTAAACTGCTGTGTAGTACATACAGCACATGCTTAACATCCATGAGGGCCTGCATTCAATCCCCAGCACCGAAAAAAAGAAAATATAAATCATTTTAATCTTTCTCCATACCTCAGATTAATGGCATTACTGCTCAGACTTTCAAACCTGACCAAAATTGTTTTCTCTCTCTAAGCTCTATGGCTTGGAAAATAAGATGAACTTAGTAATCTTCCAAGCAATGTCTCCAGTTTAGATTTTAAAGATAATTTTACTTAGTAATTTCTATTTTGACCTATATTATTCAGATATAAAAGATAACTCTCAATCATTAAAAATTGTCATCAAATTTCACACTGTTACAGAGTTTAGAGTTTACATTCTAGAGAAAAGTAAAAACTCTAAGATGCAGCTGTGGCAGGAAAATAACCTTTAGGAAATTAAGCTGTAAATATGTTTAAATTATGGCATTTATACTTGTTAACTTATTTACATCACTTTGTTTTTATTTCAAGAAAAAAAGTACTTACTTCGGGGCTGGAGAAATGGCTCAACGGTTAAGAGCACTGACTGCTCTTGCAGAGGACCAGGGTTTGATTCCCAGTACCCACATGGCGGCTATGAACTACCCTTAACTCCAGTTCCAGGGGAATCCGATGCCCTCTTCTGACCTCTGTGGCATTGCATGCTCACATACATGCAGCAATACACTCATACGCATAAAAATAATAAATATTTTTTTAAAGTACTTACTTCTGTACACTTGTTCCAATATTAGCTAAAAATTCTTCCAGTTGTTCATTGAGATTTTCAGACCCCATCTTAAAGAAACTTATCTGGGGAGAAGGAGGAGGGACAGCTGAACAACACAACACAAATATACAGATAAAAATATTTAAAGTAGGCCAGGTATGGTGGTGCAAACCTTTGAAACCTGCTGTTGTACACTGTGATTGTTAGAGCATAGAAAACAAGAAAGGACTGTGGCTTTATCAAGTTTGTGTGCCAGTGGGATGAGACTGACAGTAAACAAATAAGGAAATAGGAGTTATGTGGTGGATGCTTTGAAGAAATAAGATAGCGGAAACCAGGAATGGTGGTACATGCCTGAAATCTCAGCTCTAAGGAAGCTTAGGCAGGAGGAAGGCCAGCCTGGGCTACACAGTGAGACCCTGCAAGGAGAGAGAGAGAGAGAGAGAGAGAGAGAGAGAGAGAGAGAGAGAGCTGGGCATGGTGGCACGTGCCTTTAATCCCAGCAATCAATCAGGAAGCAGAGGCCAACCTGGTCTATATAGTGAGTTCCAGACCAGCTGAAGCTACAGGAAACCGTTTCAAAAGGACCAAAAAAGTATATATATTTAACGTAAATCACACTAACAATCCTGAGATACATGGTTACATAAAAAAAAGACAATGGTTTATTAAATCTGTGCAAGACCAGGTTACAATTTACAATACCTACTGGAACAGTCACTGAAGGAGCTAGAATTAAATTCCATTGTGTACCCTTTTATCTATATTTAGGGGTTATTTTGTTGTTTGAGATAGTCTCACTGTGTATCCCAGGCTGGCCTCAAACACCTATTCCTCCTGCCTCGGGCTACCACACCCACCTTATAAGTACTCATACCTAGTACCTGAAGGGATATTCAAATTTCTTTCAAGTCTTGATTTTTTTTTAATTTACTTTATGTGTATGAGTGTTATACCTGCATATAAGTACACCCATGTCGTGCAATGCCTGCAGAAGAGAGAAGAGGGCATCGGATCCCCTGGAACTGGAGTTAAGGACAGTTGTTAGAAGCCATGTGGGTTACTGGGATTGGAACCCAAGTGGTCTGCAAGAACAGTCAGTGCTCTTAACCACTGAGCCATCAATCCAGCCCCTCAAGTCTTGATTTTTATCATATAACCTAAAATTAAAATTTCTAGCCTCTTTCATAATGTGCACCTGTTTGGGCATTTGAAAGTTCATCTTTTTTTGAATGTATAAGAGTGTTTTGCCTGCGTGTATGTAAGTGCATCCATGCATGTAATGCCCATGGAGGTCAGAAGAAGGATCCCCTAGAACTGGAATTAGAGTTGTTAGCTGCCATGTGAGTGCTGGGAACCAAACCAGGAAGGAGTCTTTTGCAAGAGGTTCAGGCCAGTGTTCTTAACCAGAGCCATCTCTCCAACCCCATCTATTATTTTTGACTCAAAAAGTATGCAAGGAACATGGGACAAATGCAAACTTGCTCATTCTTTCTCAGACTTATAAAGCAAGAATGAATGGGAGCTGCAGCAAGAGACACCACTCTGGATTCATTTAATTTTCTGCTTCCCATCCCCAACTGTCCAAAAAAGTCCAAAAATAATGTGTGCTTTCATTTATTCTACGTTCAGATCTTTATTTGCAAAGAAAACCATCCCCCCTCCTTAAAATAGGACACTAATGAGTTTCTAAAATTACTTTTTAAAATCACCTCACAAATTAGTATGTTGATAACAGTTTGTAATATCTTTGCCATTGATGTAAATACCAAGCTTAACATTAGGCTTTTAGGATACATACAATCCAAAACACAGTACAGTATTTACCTGAGCTTGCATGTACCCAAGTAGAGGTTCTAACAATGCTATTTTCTTCTTGTACTGAAGAGTATTCAATGCACAAAAATAATGCATCATGGTCTGGTGCTGTTTCTTCCTGGAAGTATACACATCTTCTGTTACTTCATACTTCACCTTCAAATGAAAAGATTAAAATAATATTTACTTAATTTTGAATTATCTTCAGTAGAAGCTATAGGGAAGAGTCTACCAAGGAAAACAGTGTATCACTAATAATTGAAAATAACTTTCTTATTTATTTTTTTTATTTTTTGGTCTTTTTGAGACAGGGTCTCCCTGTAACCCCAGCTGTCCTGGAACTCACTATGTAGACCAGGCTGGCCTTGAACTCACAGAGATCCACCTGCCTCTGCCTCCTGAGTGCTGGGATTAAAAGCGTGTGCCACCACCCCCGGCACTTTCTTATTTTTTAATCTATTAGAAATCCTGGGGCTGGAGAGATGGCTCAGCAGTTAAGTGCACTGGCTGCTCTTGCAGAGGACCTGGATTCAGTTCCCAGCACCCACACGGTGGCTAACAATCTCCTGGAACTCCAATTCCAGGGGATTCAACGCCCTCTTCTGACTTTCCATGGGCACTGCATGACATGGGTGCAATATACTCACACATATAAAATAAAAATAATTTTTTAAAAATTCCTTCAACGTACTAGCTAAGCTGATCTTCCTGTTTACCAACCATATCACTTACAAAATATGTATTTGCATATAACTACAAATGTACATATCTACACTAAGCATGATGAAGCCCATCTCATGGGCCATTAGCCATTAGTCTCTGATCTTAATCAGTTCGCACCCCTCCTAGTTTCTATGTGCCATACTTTATTCCTACTTGCTTGTCTTCCTTCACTCTTACTTAAAATACCCTGAGTTCTTTCACTCAAATAACAAATTTTCACTGAGAATTTATATTTGCCTAACATGCATGAGGCTCCTTTTTTCTCTGGCCTTTCCTTGGAATACCTGATCAAGTATCAAGAGTATCCCAATATCCCAGTAAATTTTTATCTCCTTCCTGTCCAAGTACCAGAGGAATTATACCTCTAACTGGGTTCTTTATCTGCTTCTGTATATAATGTGTGTTTGTGTGTACTGGAAAAAACAAAATAGAAGACAGTTTCCTCATAAAACCTGTACTTTTTCTTACCTACCTCTATCCAAATAATCTAAGATTCACAATGGATTCCCCTTCCTACTATAGGACTTGTAATTTCTACTATAAACTCTCTCTCAAAAGTAGGGTTTGGAAGTGTGGCTCAGAGGTAGGCTATTATTGCCTACTATTCACAAGGCCCTGAGTACAATGCCCAGTGGGTATGGGGAACAACTCCCAAAAGAATTTCTTCCTCTCCTCTTTCAATAACAGTAACAGTCACTGTAACTTTACGAACCATTCCATTATCTTTTTGCTGGATTCCCCAGTACTGTCCTTATCCATTTTCATTAGTGCTTTGTTATATAAAATAGCTGTGTGGCATTACTCACTTAGAATCCTTTGCTGGCTGTTCACTCCCTCTAATGCAAATTCCGAGGCCATAAATATAAGCAAAAAAACTATTGGGCATTGGGAGGGAGGGGGCACTGTTTGTGTTTGAAGATACTATCTCATTCTATAGCCTAGGCTGAACTTAAACTCATTATGTAGTACAGGCTAGCCTCAAACGTTCAGTGATCTTCCCACTTACACTTCCCAAGTGCTGGAATCACAGGTGTGAGTCACTATACCTAGAAGCTACTTTGTCATTTCTGCCATATCTCCCCAAACACATCTAGAGACACGTCGTCATAATCACTTTCCATCGCCACTGTACTAATCATGACTAGAATTTAGTTAATTCTGCTAAGAAAGGTACTCGGCATGCACTATCTAATTTCACCTTCACAATTATTGTTTTGTGGGATTTTTTGTTTTGTTTTTGCATAGGGCAATGAAGACTTGGAATTAATAATACATGACCTTAGGCAATGTAGTAGGAAACCTCGGATTTGTTCCCAATTTGACTCCAAAGTCAGTCCTCTCAAACTTTATATTCTCCAAACTCTACAGTACGCCACTACAGAGGCTGTTGGGGTTTTTTTTGTTTTGTTTTGTATTATTTTGTTTTGTTTTGTTTTAAGGAAAGTCCTCTCCAAGCACCAAACAATGTTGCCCACTTATCTACAAGCCACATGTCACCTCTTAAATGTATCCTATCCTCTTTCCCAACTCACCAGCAAAGCTCTTTCTGTACTCTTTTCAGGAAAATCTCTATTACTACATTTAAACTGTGTTAATTCATGCAGTCTCCTCCTCCTTGTATTCCAGCATGCACTTACACAAAAGCCTCCAATGAATGTGGACTGTGTACTCTGAGAGCAGGGGTGGAGCCTATGTACATTATTCCCCGAAGGCATCAACGCACTGCTTGATAAATAGATGCTCAATAATGTTTATTAATTTTTTAAATTGTTTTAAAGTATTTGGAAGAGCCAGAGCAATACAAAGCATGCCAAATTTTATAGCCTAGACCCTCAAAAGTCCCCTGGGAGAAAACTGCAGGAGAATAAAATCTCTGGTCTGGATAAAGACCCAACTTTCACGTCAGGCATGGTGGCACATGCCTATAATCCAAGCACTTGAGAGGCAGAGGCAGGTGGTGAGATGTGAGATCTAGGCCAACCTAGTCTCTATAGTGAGTTCTAGGTAAGCTGGGTCTACAGGGAGACCCTGTCTAAAGAAAACAAAAATTTTTAAAAAGATCTAACTTCCCAGTTTTGCTGATCATAGGATGACCCCTAGGAAGGAAAGTTAAGTCATGCTAAGAGATGGGTGGAATACCTAGTGGATTAATGAGATGATAAACTTTTCTTGCCTGGAATCCTGCCCCCCGCCCCCAATGCAGGACTGGGTTACAGACATGTGGCTCTCTTCAGAAAAGTGTAACCTCTCCTTTTCTTATTTACATCTTTATTTCTAACCATGCTTTCCCAAACATTTTGGGCTCTTACTTTTTCCCTAAAGCTTCTTTCCCCTCCCTGTCATGTGGCTGTCAGTTCACCACCTATCTGGCCTCCATGCCAATTCTCAACTAGCATGACTTTATGGCTTTTCTCCTTCTCCCCATCATTCTCCTCTTCAAGGTAGCTACTGAGATTTATAGCTTGACTGCTCTGAGGATTTTTTTCCTTCAATTCTAATAAAATGTCCTAAAGCTTCCTTTTGAGTCTTCTTAAATTCTTTTATGAATGATTCTAAGAACCTTAAGTGTACCCTGTTTTTCCCTATATCAAAATGACTAATGTAGATCTCTAACTGTGTATACTTTGGCAGTATTTGCACAATCAGGTAAACTGTGTACTGAAATTAGAAATAGAAAGCAGATTTTTGGCCTGATCACTGCATGAACAGCATTCTCTCTGCTGTCACAGTAGCTGTTACATCCTAAGTCCTGCTCAGTCATTGATTCCCATAAACAGCCACTGTGTGTCCACCAACAGCTCCAGTCAAGGCTGTAGTCACCAAGTCCCAGCCAAGCAGAGATAACCCACAAGCATCAGTATAGCTACACATCGAGCCCTGGATTAAGTCATTCGAGAAGAGTGCATTTTTCCTCAAATATAGTATTTCTGGATTTCACGCCTTGAAAAAATATCAAAAAGCATAAATACTTAAGTAAAGAAAGCATCACACCAGAATTTCACTGAGGTATACATGGGACTTTCTATCTCACAAGGTATTTCTGAATACATCTGTGGTCAAAATGAAAACAAAACATACACAAAATTATCAGAATACAAAGCAAAAAGAGGAAGTTTTCTATACTGGGAATCAACTACATTTTTAGAATAGCTATGTCAAATACTGGTAGAAGAAAAGCATTTTGTTTAAAAAGACTACAAATTGTTTAAAGGTTTTGAACAGCTAGGAAGAATAAGAGTAAAACTGCAAAAAATGTTCTATTTGCTCTGTTTTAAAATAGGAAAAACTAAACCACCTAATGAAATAGCCACTAACTATGATACTCAAGAAACGTGCAGCACACCTTGTCATTCTCTCTCTTTTTGGACAATCGACTGTATCTGTTAATTGCAGCATCATGATCTGAAAGCAGAAATGAAGATTAATAATACAACAGCACATATAAAACCTATAAATGCTGTCCACAGCTTCCACATGGGACTCTTTCTGCACATGTACTACAGCCAGGCTAAAGTTCCCTATGACATGATCGCTACATTCAGATTTTCCCCACAGCCAAGTTTCCCTTAAATTATACGACTACATATCAAACTGGCAGAAAACGCTGACTTTCAAAGAAACCATAATCTATTAAAGCTTTAAAAACTTTCAGTACAAAAAAGAATAAATGTTTGTTAAAGAAAAACAGAAGAGCTAAAGACGTAACTCAGTGGTAGAAGGCTTGCCTAGCATGCACAAGGCCCTAGGTTCAAGCCCCAGCACAGGAGAAGGGAAGGAAAAGGAGGGGGGTAGGGGAATGGAATATTTAGGTACAGCAGACTATTACACAACCTCTTCAGGTATTATGGAGATAGTAAATTGTAAGACTGATATTGGGGGCTAGAGAGATGGCTCAGTGGTTAAGAGTACTGGCTGCTCTTGCAGAGAACCCAGGTTCAATTCCCAGCACCCACACGACAGCTAACAATTATTCGTAACTCCAGTTCCAGGGGAATCCGACACCTTCTTCTGACCTCCTCAGGCACTGCAGGACATGGGTGCACTTGCATGCATACAGGCAATAGACTCATACACATAAAATAAAAATAACAAATAATAAATAATAATAAAATTTTTAGAAAGACTGAGGTAACTGTCTTTTTTTTTTTTTGACAGCACACAGGAGGTAGAGGCAGGTGGATCTCTTTGAATTTGAGGCCAGCTTGGTCTACATAGTGGTTTCTAGGCTAGACAGGGCTACATACAGTGAGGCCCTGATCCAAAAAATAAAATTGAATTTTTTTTTTTGCAAAAAGTGTATTCAAATAACACTGCTGATGTAAATAATATAATATTCCCTTAATCTTTTTTTTTTTTTTTAAGTTTTCTGAGACAGGGTCTGCCTGTAGCGCCAGCTAGCATGGAACTTACTATGTAGACCAGAATGGCCTCAATCTCCACAGAGATCTGCCTGCCTCTGCCTCCCAATTGCTAAGATTAAAGGCATGCACCACCATGCCTACCTACTTAATTTTTAAAATTAGGTTAATTTTTTTTAATTATTACATTGATTTAGTCATGATGTATACTGACAAATAGATCAATAAAACATATTTAGGGCTTACCATTACTAGCAATCTGAAACACCTCTTTTAACGTCAGTATTTCTGAAAAAGTTAAAAAATTTCAGCTTAGCATATTTATGAAATATCTTGGCCTATTTATAAAACAATTAGCATCACTTAAGCCATAATTAATATTCAAATAACAGTTTATACTGCCATGTTCAAAGTGAAAAAGTTATTATATTAGCTAGTCTATGAAACATTCACAGTCATTAACATACAAAGAAAACAATCTACCTGCTACAAATAATATGATACAAATTTTAAAGCCCACTGTAAATGCTAAGATATGCAAATATTCTGATGTAGTAATTTATTTTTGATATATGATTAATAACTTCAAATGCTGAATGAGAAAGAAGATAATTATGTTTGTTCCACATATAATTTAAGCACTTTACCATTCAATTTTCTACCTACCTAATGTCTGTATGATTGAGTTTATAAATTATAAGTAAGAAAATTAAGTTCTATAATATGTTCATTTTATCACCTGCTAACCCTAAGTGGGCAAAAATATCCAACTAGTAAGTTCACTAACTACCACAGTGGTTAGACGTGCCAGTGCCCCTACCTCCCACCACCCTAGCCCATACAAGCTTCTATGCTCTGGACAGTATCCTATTTCAGGTCTTGGTTATTAGCTCATTGGACTCTTAGACTTTCTTAGTCCAGTCTCCTAGAACCAAATCCACTTTATTCCATCCTCCAAAAGCATAAGGATTATGTTCCAGTGACCTCTTTTTGCTCATACACTCCAGTCCAACAACTTCAGCAGGCACTAGCTCTATCTAATCTATTTCTCCACTCGTCTTCTGCCTTGCCCAACACATTCAGCACTGTAGTTGGATCTCATATTCTCAAAACAAGCAACGTATTTCAACAACCCATACCTCTATGCATTCTGTTATCCCTAAGAGAACCACTCTCCTCTCTTCTGGAAAATTCTTCTTCAGCATTCAATGCTCAGGGCACATCTTTGGTGAAGCTTTTTGACCTTCTCCTCTGAGCCCCCATAGTTTTTTCTCATTCCTTAATTATGAAACACAGTATCCTAATTATGTGTTTACCAATCTTTCTTGAGGGAAGGGATACCACTATTTGTCAGAATCTAGTTCAATATCTATCAAGAGCTTCCATAAATGTCTAGTGATTAAAGTAAATGTAGCACAGGTTATGGTCAGAACTGGTTTAGATGAAGTAATATGAAGTCTACAAGCATTGATCTTCTGACAACTGATAAAAATAAACATAAGGTTGACTTTAATACCTTTCAGATCTCTTTCTTTAAACTGGGTAATGGGGAACATCATGGCATCAGCAAGTTGAGTTGAAAGTACCGCATGACAAGAGCTAAGCTAGTAAAAGAAAGACCAAAAAAGGCCAAATAACTAACAGATAACACTTATAACTATTAAACGTCTTTACTAATATTATGTAAATTAGCTAGACTCCAGTAAAAAGAAAAAAGGCTTTGACATATTTTACAAAAGAAAATCCTAAAGCTTATGTAATATAGTAGAAAATAAACAGTCAAAAGAAATTTCAGGGGCTCGAGAGATAGCTCAGTGGTTAAGAACAGTGACTGCTCTTGCAGAGGACCCAGGTTCAAATTCCAACACCCACATGACAGCTAATGACCATCTGTAACACCAGTTCCAGAGAATCCAACATCCTCTTCTGGCCTCTGTGGGCATTGCACAACATGGGTACACTTACACAGATGCAGGCAAAACTCACACACATAAAATTTTAAAAAATAATAAAGAAAATACTTTTTTAAAAAAATTCCATTTAAAACAAAAAAAAAAATTCAGGATGATCCTGTGTTTAACAAAAAATTCTCAATGTGACTCCAAAAGCATAAGCAACAAAATAAAATGAAAAATGAGCTCATTAAAAACTTTGGCCGTGCGTGGTGGTTCACACCTTTAGTCCCAGCACTTGGGAGGCAGAGGCAGGTGGATCTTTGTGAGTTCAAGGCCTGCCTGGTCTACATAGTGAGTTCCAGGCCAGCTGGGGCTACAGGGAGACCCTGTCTCAAAAAGACCAAAAAAAGTAAGTAAAAACTTTTATCCATCAGAGGATACTATCAAGAAAGTGAAGCTAACTCAGAGAATGAGAGAAAACATTTGCCAATCACATAATTAAGAAGAAACCTGCATCTCCAAAACTCCTAATGGCAAATAATCCCAATTTTTAAAATGGGCAAAGGATCTCCAAAGATATACTAATGGTTGATAATGCTCAATATCATTAGCTATCTGAAAAATGCCAATCAAAATGACTGAGATACCACAGCATTCCCATTTAATGATTGTAATTTAAAAAATGAAAACAGAGGCTCGAGAGATGGCTCAGCGGTTAAGAACACTGACTGTTCTTGCAGAAGACCGGGGTTCAAATCCCAGCATCCACATGGCAGCTAACAACTGTCCAGTAACTCCAGTTCCAGGGGATCTGACAGTCTCTTCTGTCCTCCACAGGCATTGCACAACACAGGTGCACTTACCTACATGCAGGCAATACACACAATTTTTAATAAAATGAAAACAATTGCTGGCAAGAGCTGCAGAATAAATAGAATTCTGCTACACTGTTCACAGGCCAATATGAAACAATTTGACAGTTCCTCAAAAAGTTCAATATAAATTATCAAATAACCAAGCAATCCCACTCCTGAGCATATACCCCAAAGACTGAAAACTGGTGCTCAAAAAATCAAACTTGTATATGAATGGTCACAGTCAAAAGGAAAATAATCCAAACACCCATAATGAGTAGATAAACAAAATATAGTAATATACACCTATACAATAAAATTTTATTCAACCAAAAGAATGAAGTGCCAGCACAGAAAACTCGAACACTAAATGAAAGAAGACAGGTCCCAAAATCCACAAACTGTATGGGTTAATTTATATGAACTATCCTCACAGGCAAATCTATAGAGATAGAAGACTAAGAGTAGTTACTGCCAAAGACTAGGGAGAACGGAGACGGGAAAGTGACAGCTTAGAGGGAAAATATTTCCTTTGGGATGATGCAAATGTTCTTGAACTAAATAACTGTGATGGTTGCACAGCACTGTGAATGTATTAAATCTTATGAGTGTCAAACATATGCATTTTACCATAATTTTTTTAAAAATGGAAAATATCCCATTCCCTGTATTTTGTTGTTTGTTTTGTTTACTTACAGTGCTAAGGATCAAACCCAGGGCCTTGTACATCCTAAGTAATTACTCTACCACTAAGCTATATCCCAACCCAGGATTATTTTTATATTGATATCCTAGAAGGTACTAGAAAAACTGGGGCTAGGGTATATCTTACTGGTAGAGCACTTGCCTAGCACTTGTGAGGCCATGAGTTAGACCTCTAGCATGGCAAAAAGTGTGTATGAATAATTACACACATACACACACACACACACACACACACACACACAACTAAAAAGCTTTCACTGCAAAAGTAGAGAACAGAGCTGGGCGTGGTGGCGCACGCCTATAGTTCCAGCACTTGGGAGGCAGAGGCAGGTGGATCTCTGTGAGTTCAAGGCCAGCCTGGTCTACATAGTGAATTCCAGGACAGCTGGGGCTTACAGGGAGACCCTGCTTCAAAAAGACCAAAAAAAAAAAGAAGAGAACAGTTATGGACTGTCCATACATCTCTCACTACTTTTTTCCTTCTAACTTCTAGGTCTTCATGTAGTTGCTGTTTTATGATTTGTTGTGATTGATGGTTTGAGAAATTAAGGGTTAATTTGGAAAGATTAATAAGGACTGAATAGTAAAGTGTTGTTTGTTGACAAAGGAAACCACGGGGCTAGAGATATGGCTCAGCAGTTAGGAACACTGGTTGTTCTTGCAGAGGACCTGGGTTCAAATCCCAGCACCCACATGGCAGCTAACAACTGTTCTAACTCCAGTTCCAGGGGATCCAACACCCTTTTCTGACCTCCACGGGCATTGCACAACATGGGTGCACTTACATACAATGCAGGCAGTACACACATACACAAAAAATAAAAATAATAAATAAAAATACTGTTCTTATAAGACAGTCATCAAAATGTACAAATATTGCTTTTAATAGCAATCTTTGTAATAAAACTTTATTCATAACCTGAACTATAAAAGTTTTCAATAAGGGCCATAGAGATGGCTCAGTGGGTATAGGTACCTGCTTTGCCTAATGACCTCAGTTTGGCCCCAGAAACCCACAAGAGAGAACTGGAAGGAGAGAACTGACTCCTGAAAGATGTCCTCTAACCTCCACACACACACCACAGCGTCCATGCACCCACCCATCCACCCACACCCATCCATAAAATAAAGTGTAATAAAAAGTCATAAAGTTCCCAATAAAAGCTTAAAATCTTGAGTAGCTTAAAGATCACCTATTCAAGCAAAATAACACTTACCTCATCTATAACCTTTGAAAACTGCTGTAAAGTAGAACTCATAACTTCATCATCACCCCCCAATGGAAAACGCTGAAAAGTGAGAAACACAGACGACATAAAGGTTCAATACAATGTTTTTTTGTGAATAACATCACAATCTGTGTTTTCAAGAAACTTTAGAATACTAAACTTTTGAACAATCTCCAAAAATACCCTTTTAATAAACTAAGTTTTATAATCAATAAACAAATGTTAGTGAAATAATGAATGTATTCCATACTGGGAGTTCAAAGATTTGGTTTTCAGTTGAATTCCTTCAATAACTAAACTTGTAACCTTGAGCATGCCTCAGTTTCTTTCTTAATAAAAAGAAATCTGGAAAGTAGATATCCTGTGTTTTAACGTTAAATCATTAACATTATCTCAACAGAAGAGCAATAGTGAAATTCAATGGCATATTCTGTGAACTCAAGAAAACCCAAGACATTATGCATGGTAACGCACGCCTGTAATCACAGCACTTGGAAGGCCAAGCAGAAGGATCAAGAGTTTGAAAGCAGCCTGACCTACATTGTAAGATTTTGCTGTAAAAAAATAAAATAAAAAGCCTAAATAGTCTTGATGGGAAAAGCGTATCTGTACAGATACTATATGATTACATGTTAAATCATGCTTTAAACTCTGATATATGGGGGCTGGAGAGGTGGCTCAGTTGGTTTAAGAGCATAGGCTGTTATTGCAGAGAATCCGGGTTTGGTTCCCAGCACCCATATGGCAGCTAACAACTGTCAGTAACTCCAGTTCTGGGAGATCTGACAAGACCCTCTTCTGGCCTCCGTAGGCATTGCATGCATGTGGTACCCTTATATACATGCCACAAAACAGTCATACACATAAAAATAAGTTAATTAGAATTTTGATATATGTACCTGTTTTTCATATTCTTTCAAAAGTTTTGAAGTCAGATGTGTTGCCGCACTTAATTCATTCTAAGGAAAAAGATTAGCATTCAAATTAGCACAATATTGCTGATTAAGAAAAATGTTTTAATTGATGATATCTAGGCCACCTTCATTTTTTGTCACTTTATTCTATGTATATTTTTAAATCCTCATCAGTGAAAGGGAGCTTCCATTAAAAGTGTTTCAAAAGAAAAACCAGGAGACACTACTGAAGAATTTCAGCAATGTTCCAGATATATACTTTTTTTTTTTCCCAAGACAGGGTCTCAGGCTGGCCTCAACTATGCAGCAGAGAATGACCTTGAACTCCTGATCCTCCTGCCTCTACCTCCAAGGCATTACAGGTGTATGCCATCACACCCAACTTCAGATATGTGTTTTTTACCTTATTTTCTAATAAAAAGTAAGCATTAAATATTTTTAAAGCTAGAAAAAAACTGTACATAACTTCAGTAAAATTTTTAGAGATTCCATGTGAATGACTGTTTATTCTATTTAGAGGTTATAGAACCATACTGTAAGCATTCAATAACATACAACAAAAATGTGTTTAACGCAGGTCATAACACAGCAACACAGCCACATGAAAGGATTTTTTTATTAATTCAGTTTTTTTCAGTCATATGATAAAATACTTCACTTATTAATTGAACGTATATGGTCAAAAATTAAGTCTTGACAGTCTATCTCAATGAAAAATTTTAAAAACTACTGTAGCAACTCTTTAAGTGCATATGAAAATATGAATCCAGAAAGAAAAGAAAATGAAAAGGATAACAAAATAAAACATATACACTTAACTAATCCCACAGAAAATATTTCAATAGAACCCAGGTTGTTTTAAAGTTTATAAATTATGGTCAGGCATGGTGGCACATACCTTTGATCCTAGTACTTGGGAGACAGAGGCAGGCAATCTCTTTGAGATTGAGGCCAGCCTGGTCCATATAAAGTAGCGAGTTCCAGGCCAGTTGGGGCTACAGGGAGACCCTGTCTCAAAAAAAAAAAAAATCATAGCCTTCTAAAATCATCTCCATGTATCTCAGAACTACTAACTAGATAGAAGCTGGCTACTTTCAAAGCCTTTACTTTAAACTTAAAAGCATGATTAGGGAAAATGCTAGTGATGACATGAGGTCTTCAGTCAATTAATTCACTATCAGTGAGTTTCAAGAAGAAAGCTCTCACTATGTTTAAGAGGGGGAGACAGATGCTTTAATCTGGTTACTTCTTTAGTGCTACAAACCAAAACTAAAACCTGAATTCTGTAATCAAATACACTTAGTGTTCATTCATCCTGTCAACAAATATTACTATGGCTCAAGAGAAGACCAGCAAACCAGGCAGATGTTATCTCTACCCTCATGGGGCTTAGAGATTCACTTTTAAACAGGACTGTGTTAGACTTTAGCTTTTTACCTGTGCATCATAAATCCGATGCATAGCTTGATACAACTGGTTCATATAGTTGGAAATAGCGGTAGCATCTTCTTCAAAAACACCCAATAAAGACCTAGTCTGTGAAATAAAATTTTAAAGTTTACATTAATCAGTATATAAAATCAGATAAACACCTTTTTTTTTTCTTTCTTTTTCAGTTTTTTGAGACAGGGTCTCCCTGTAGCCCCAGCTGGCCTGAAACTCACTATGCACACCAGGCTGGTTTTGAACTCACCGAGATCTGCCTGCCTCTGCCTCCCGAGTGCTGGGATTAAAGGCGTGAGCCACCATGCCCAGCCAAATACCTCTTTTCTAAAAGAGCAAAAACCCTAAGATAATAGAGTTCTAGTAATTGTTTTTATCTATTTTAAATATTTTGATAGTAATGCCAAGAAGTCAGTGTTTTTTGTTCTCAATTTCACTTTATTAAAGAAGTCACAGACTTCTGTGTGGTGGTGCATGCCTTTAATCCCACGCTTGGGAGGCAGAGGCAAGTGGATCTCTTTGAGTTCAAGGTCAGCTAGGGCTGACCTACAATAGCAGGTTCCAAACTAGCTGGGGCTACCGAGAGATCCTGTCGCAAAAAACAAAGGGGGGGGCGGCCTGGAGAGATGGCTCAGAGGTTAAGAACACTGGTTGTTCTTGCAGAAGACCTGGGTTTGAATCCCAGCACCCACATGGCAGCTAACAACTGTCCGTAACTCCAGTTCCAGGAGATCTGACGGCCTCTTCTGTCCTCCATGGGCACTGCATGACACAGGTACACTTACCTACACGCAGGCAATATACTCATACACATAAAATAAAAATAATAAAATATTTTAAAGAAGAAATCACATAAACTTTAGAAGGAATAAAAAAGGTATGCTTCTACGATTTAAAGATTCTGTAATTAAAACTAAAATCAAGAGCCATATAGGAGTGCCACGTTTTTAATAAGAAATAAAGCTTAAAGTCTAAAGAATGACATCCCTACACACACATATAGTTTGTTTTGAGATACTAGGCTGACCTAGAACTCACTACATAACCCAAACTGGCCTCAAACAACCTATGATTCTCCTGCTTCAGCCTCTGAAGTGCTGAGATTACAGATGTGAACCATCACACCTGGCTAGACTTCGTGTTTTTATTCAGTAACTTCCTGTATTCAAATGAGGAAGTTAAGTCAATTAGGTCTAAAGAGAGAAAAAAGAACGTTATGGAGCCATCATTTTCAGTCCTCTACTTCAAGAGTCTTTTTTGTCTTTATCATTCTGCCTCAGCCTCTTAGTAGCTGAGACTCCAGGCAGGCGCCACCACTCGGCTAGACTGACAGTCTTTTTCACCCTAGTACTCTAGTCCATTTCTCCCTACTGCTATCAAAAAGGAAATGTGGGTATGGTGGCTCATGCCTGTAATGTCACTGGGACACTGAAGCAAGAGACTACTGTGAGTTTGAACCAGCCTGGAATAGAGTGAAACCCTATCTTAAAAAAAAAAAAAAAAGCAAAAGAGGCATGGTGTATAATGCCTGTAATTCTAGCACTTGGAGGCAGGAAGATCAGGAATTTAGGGCCAGCCTTAGCTACATAGCAAATGGGAAGCCAGTCTAGACTACATTATACTGAGGGGGGGTACCAATTACTTTCTAAAGTTCATATCTGTTCTTATACATGAACAAGATTCAAGCCAGGTGTGATGGCACACGTCCCTATTCCCAGCAGTCAGGAGGCAGAGGCAGGCGGATCTCTGTGAGTTCGAGGCCAGCCTGGTCTACATAGTGAGTTCCAGGCCAGCTGGGGCTACTGGGAGACCCTGTCTCAAAAAATTAATTAATTAATTAACAAGATTCACTGAGATACTTATTTTCAAAACAATATACAAACATGAACAAGGCATGTCCTAATAGAGACTTAAAATTTTCTTCTTCGGCTATTTGCAGAGTACTGTTTTGGGGCAATATAACACTAAAGATCTTTATATTAAATCAGTTGGATTTGAAAATGCACATTAGGAGCTTTGAAAGTTTGAATAATCTTTGTTATTCTGCTTATTGAACTATATTCTAGATAAAATAGTCAAAACTGAGAAACTAGACATGGTGGTGCATGCCTTTAGTCTTAGCACTCAGAGGCAGAGAAAGGCAAATCTCTGTGAGGCTGAAGACAACCTAGTCTACATAGTGAGTTCCAGGCCAGCTAGGGCTAACAGGGAGACCCTGTCCAAAAATAAGCAAACAAAAACTGAGAAGAATATATACCCCAAAGCATTTTTCTCAACCTTATTTCTAAAAGCAGAACTTTAGGAAAACTCTCAAACAACAATGGAAGCTGGGTTGTGAGCTGGCTATGGTGACTCAAGCTAGAGTTGTAACGACTCTAGAAGCTAAAGCAGGAGGATCTCAAGCTAGTTTGAGCAACACAAGATTTCCTCTAAAAAGAAAAAAAAATTAAAAAATAAATAAAAGTAGGAGAGGGGGCCAGTTGGGACGAGGAAGGGGATCAGTGGGAAGGGGACAAGAAAGAATAAGAAGGGAGCAAATATGATGGAAAAACATTATGTACATGTATGGAAATGTCATGATGAAACCCACTATGTATAATTAATATATGCCAATAAAAGAGGCTTTTTAAAAGATTTTTAAAAGTGTGTTAAGTCAGTTATAGAAATGCACAAGCCTTGAAATTTTAAATTCAGATTTTTAAGCTATAACACAGAGAGAGAGAGAGAGAGAAAGAGAGAGAGAGAGAGAGACAAAGATATAAAGTTTTCTGTATCTTTCAATTTTTCTGAAGCAAGCAACTATTGTTTTTATAATCAAGGCCAAAAACATTTTTTAAAAAACCTATTTACAGCCAGGCATGGTGGCACACGCCTTTGATCCCAGCACTTGGGAGACCCTGTCTCAAAAACACCAAAAAACAAAACAAAACAAAAAAACTATTTACTATTTACTATAATTGAAGTTCAGAGAAGTTGAGTGACTTGCCTTAAAGCAAGAATACTGTATGGTTAAAACTCTTATTTGCAGGGCTGGAGAGATGGCTCAGCGGTTAAGAGCACTGACTCTTCTTGAAGAGGATCCGGGTTCAATTCCCAGCACCCACGTGGCGGCTACAAACCGTCCTTAACTCCAGTTCCAGGGGAATCCGAAGGCCTCTTCCGACCTCCATGGCATTGCACCACACTGGTGCACTCACATACATGCAGGCAATACACTCATACACATAAAATAAAAATAATAAATAAAATATTTTTTAAAAAAAACCTCTTATTTGCTTATTCTGTAACAAGCCTTTCCATCCTGCCCACAGGATGGAATTACCTCCAAGCATCTTACCTCCCTACAAACAAGTCTGTTGCCTTCCTAAATCCCAGTTGTCCAATTAAATTGTCCCAAATATTATCTAGTTCAAATATATTACTTCTAGAAAATGAAAGTGTATGAATGTGGTTATTTTATTAAAAATTACTATAAAGGCTGGCAAGATGGCTCAAAATGGGTAAAGGCACTTGCTACACAGGCCTAAAGACCTGAGTTCAAATCCCTTGAACCCACGTAAAAGTGGAGGACAGCATCAACCCCACAAAGTTGTCCTCTGACCTCCACATGTACACCATGGCATGCACAACACATACACATCTCACACACACACACACACACACACACACACACACAAATAAGACTTTAAAAACATTTTTTAACTACTAAAAAGGGCTATAAAAGTAAGCTGGCTCAGTAGGTAAAAGCACCTGCTGTAAAAGCAAGAGGACCTGAGTTCAAGTCCCCAGCACCCACACAAAAGCTGTGCATAGACACACATGCCTATAATCTAGGTATTGGGTAGCAGAGACAAGTGGATCCCAGTTCATTAACTAGCCAGTCTAGCTAAAACGGCAAGCTTCAAGTTCAGGGAGAAACCCTGTCTCAAAAAATGAGACAAAAAATAGAGAAAGACACATAATAATCCTCCTCTGGCCTCTGCATGTGCGTGCACAGATGCATGCACCTTACACACACATAAGCACCCACACACACACACACACACACATGCACACACAACTATAAAACTGGTGCTAGAGATATCACTCCATTGGTAAAGTACTTGTCACACAAGCATGAGGACCTGAGTTCAATCCCAAATGCCTATGTAGAAAGCTAGGCATGGTGGCAAGTACACGGTAATCCACACACTGAGAAGGGAGACAGGCAGATCCCCATGCCAGCCAAGCCTATTTGGTCCCATGAGAAACCCTTGTCTCAAAAAACAAAGTGGACAAAGCCTGAAGAGGAACAACACCTGAGCTCATCCTCAAACTGCCAAACATGCATATGTATTCATGAGCACCCACACACACACATAACACACACACACCCGCACACCACACACACAAATCACTATAAAACTGCTACTTAATGAGAAATGCTTGTCAAAAACAACAGGGCTGGGAAGACAGCTCAGCAGATAAAGCACTTTCCCCAAAAGCTTGAGGACCAGAGTTCAGATTCCCCAGAACCCACCTAAAAGCCCTGAAGGCTTGGAGGCCACATGCAATCTCAGCACTCAGGAACCAGAGACAGGGTCCCCAGAGATACCTGAACTGGCTGAACTGGAGAGCTCTAGGTTCAGGGAAAGACCCTGCCTCCACAAATAAAGTGGAGACCAATCAAGGAAGATAACAAATGTCAACTTCGGGCCTCCACATGCATACAACTGAATGCAAACACACATATACCACACATATACACACACCAAAAAAAAAAAACAACTCACAAAACCAGCATTGGGGATTTAGCTCAATGGTACAGTATTTTCATAGCAAATTCAAGGCCCTGGATTCAGTCCCAAGCACCCAAAATAATAATAATAAATAACTTTTAAACTATAAAACATGACAACTGAAAGTACTTGTGGCTCAAGCCTGCAATAAGCACTTAAGAAACAGACACAGAAAGATCTCATGTAGCCTGGGCTACAGAATGTAACTGACTGAAAAGCCAACACACACACTCTAACACTCAAGCTGTAAACTACAAGAAAAGTTCAGGTCACTGAACAATCCATTCTGTTTATAATCATTAAGGGCTATTAAAAGCAGGTTAAGTAAAAGAAGTTAAGTCAGCTTATTGAGTCTCAATTTTTTAAAAAAAGGAAAATGACAAAATTCATCTGACCAATACAAACCCACAAAATTGCTGCAAGTTATCTGAAAGAAATATAGCTTAAGACTTTATTTATATGGAGGAAATCATTAAGCAAAATTTAAACTGGCTATGAGATCAGTCAAAATGCAGGTTCCTTTTTGTCAGCATAGGCTGATAAGAGTACATTACCAGCAAGCAACTGGCCTGTGAAGATAGCTTTCAGAATGAAAAACGAGCAAATCAATTCTACAATCAAAGCCCAATTTCAACTTGACAATCAAAGCTGGCACAAGTCCATGGCAGGCGTGCCATCCAGGAAAGGAGGCTCTTTTCCTTTTTATTGGGGGGGGCGTAGGAAACTATAAAGATACATGAAATATACATTTCTCAGTAAGCATTTTTTCAGACACCAACAAGCATCTCTCCCTGTGTAAAAGCTGGCATAGGGATGAAGTTTATGCCAGTTACAGCCCCGCCAACACCATTTACAACTGCTTTCATGCAGTTCTGAAAAAAATACCAAACGGTTACATTTTCCACCATTGTCTTAAGCTAGAACAACCACAGCAGCATCAGCCTCATCGCACAAAACGCAGGGCTTTTATTTTGATGAGTCGGTGGGGGCCAAGCCCGCAGCCAGAGGCGCAGCGACGGCGGCGGCGAAGGCGTCTTCCATCACCGCAGCACTGCCGGAGTGACAGCTGCCGGCCGCGACCCCGACCCGCGGCAGGGGGCAGGCGCGCAGACTCCACGTCCACGCGAGGCACACACGGCCTCGCAGCTCCTGCCCACGAACACAGCCATCCCTCCCCAGCCGGCCGGGCCTCCACGACCACCCGACCGCCCGACCGGTTTCCTCCGAGAATCCCACCGTCAAGACGGATCACCGCAGGCCATGGCCGTAGGAGCCACACCTTTGGAGAAAGGCGAAGGGAGCCGGCGCGGACGTGAGCGCCAGGCCCCACAGGACAACGCTGGCAGCTCGGTCTGCGCCGCAGGCCCGCGAGGGCCTCCGGTAGGGCGGCCGGGCACCCACGGGCGGCGGCGCCCAGGTGGGCCGGCGGCACCTGCGGCGGCGCCAGGCCTGCGCCCGGCCGGCTCCCCTCACGACCCGCTACCCTCACCGCCCGCCGCCCTCCTCACCTGCGGGCTGTCCTCCAGCGTCTCTTCGATGGGCAGCTTGTCGATCCCCGGCATCGTGGCGAACGCAGGGCGGCGGCAGGACTATCGGCAGCCGCCCACAGCTCCGCGCGGGCCCGCCTGCAGCAGCTGACCCGGCCCGCCCTCTAGCCTGCGCCGCCGCCGCTGCCGCCGCCGCCCCAGCCAGGCACCCAGCCGCGGCCGCGCGGGAAGTCCCGCCCCCTGCCCGCCTCTGGCGCGCCCATTGGCTGGTAGAGACGCCCGTCAACGTTGCAGCGAGGACTGGGAGGTGCCTTTGCTGCGCCTGGCCCTTCCGCGAGCTCTGGCCGCCAGCTCCTTCGTGCGCGCGCATTGGATGTCAGTGGCCCCGTCACGGCCTCGCCCGCGGTTAACCCCAGCCTCGAGTGACGACCACATGGGGGGATCTGGGGAAGTTTTACTCCTGCACCATATGTAGTCAGCGACCTTGAAAAAAACCCCTATTGCCGGCGCCTCCGTTTCCTCAAATTATAACCTTTCCAGCCCTTCCCGAAGCTTCTAGTCCTAACTCCAGCAAAGGGGTGCTAACTCACAAATCTTGGGAAACCTGAAATTGTGCCGTTAACGGGGTTTGCTGGAAAATTGGTGGATGGTAGACGTGAAACTCTTGGATATCAGCATTACTCAGTTGAGTAAAGCCCATGACCCTGTTACCAATTCCTAAATTCTTAACTGGCCCAGAAGTTTGACATGCTATTATTTACAACTACCTTAATTCTTATATATTACAAAGGAAGACGTCCTTTATCCTTTAAAAAAAAAAAAAAAAAAAAACACTTCGTGAGGACCTGAGTTTAGATCCCCAAGTGAAAAACCGGGGGCGGCAGCCGGTGTGATCCCCGAACTGGGGAGAGAGACTGAAGTTGGCTGGCCACAGCCTAGCCAATCAGTGTTTCAGGTTCAGTGACAGATCCTGTCTAAATAAAAGAAGCGACTGAGGAAGATACTCCCACCCCATGTCAGGCCTCCATGTGCACACAGACATAAGCACACACTAAAATAAAATTTAAAAATAAGAATAGACACAGCAATGGTGTCAGCATACACAAGTTCCATGCAAACAAACTCAAGCAGACAAAAACCCAGCATAGAACTGGGAAAATGGACAGCAGACCCCAATCTTAGCTGAAGAAATATTGGCAACTGATTACTGCTAGGTGAGGGAGAGCTGATCTTCCTAAGATGAGGGACTACTGGACCTCAGTAGATGGACTTGCGCTGAGGAACATCGAGACACAATAGGCCTTAACACAAATGACAGAGTGTATGACTTCCAATGTGGGGGGTGACTATGGGAGGCTGTCAGTGGGGACGGGAGTATAAAAATGATTAAGATTGATTGAGATGTTCTGTATGAAAATTCACAAAAATTCAATAAAAACTATCCTTAAAAAATAAGAATATACTGGCTAATTATGTTGAGAACTGATTAGCATTTCTGTTTGATGGAAAAAGTTTTTGAAGACGCTTTAAATAGCTTCTTCAGGTTCTCCTTTTATTGTAAAGTGCAGCTCACACAGTTGGGGATTTGACCCGTGAGGCTAGACCTCTGGTCCTCTTACCACTTCACCCATTTTCTCCTGCTTCACTTTGCCTTTTTTATTTCTCTATAGTGTTATAAGAAGTTAGTCAGTATACAGAAAAAAACAGCAAAATCACTAGTATTTCCCAAAACTTTAGCCATTAACTCCGGCAGTCCATTCCACTATCATCCAAAGAGTTTGAGATGCTGGGACTGGAGAGATTGCTCAGTGGTTAGGAGCACTGGCTGCTCCTCCAGAGGATCCTGTTTTAGTTCCCAGCATCTGCATGGCAGCTAACAACAGTCCATAACTCCAGTTCCAGGGAACCTGACGCCTTCTTCTGACCTTCAAGGATATTGAATGTGCTTATATATATGGAGGCAAAACACTCATTCGCATAAAAATAAATAATTTTTTCAAAAAGTATGAGATGCTGAGTAAAGATTATTAGCTTCCTGGTTCTCCAGATATATTGGAACAAACCCAGATACTGTAAAAAAAATCCAAATATGGTAATGGGAATGAAGTTAAGGTTTTAATCTAAAGTACTAGATTTTTCCATGATTTCTTGAAAGATAAAAATTATATTTCAAAAGTTTTATCAGATAGGTCTGTATTAAAGTTTCACAGAATTACCTTTAGTGTTATGATCTTCCCATTATAGCTCTCCCTTAGGTTGTCTTTTTTTTTTTTTTTTTTTTTTGAGACAGGGTCTCTATGTAACCCCAGCTGGTCTGGAACTCACCAAGTAAACCAGGCTGGCCTCAGTCTCATAGAGATCTGCCTGCCTCTGCCTCCCAAGTGCTGGGACAAAGGCATGTGCCACCACCCCTGACCTCCCCTTAGTTTCTTTATCAACCAGTCATTCTCTCAAAGAGATCTTTATTTTTTTGAGAGAGCTGGTTTGGAGCCAATTTTTACATTATGAAGGGCTCCACGTTGTGCTATGGGTGTGTTATCCTTGATATTTCTCCTTTTCAGTCTGCTAGCACAAGCATCATGCAACTTGGCTGTAAAGAAGAAAAACTTTCAAGCAGTTAGGGGTGACACAGGTTCATAATTCCAGCATTCAGGAGGCAGAGGGAGAAGGATTCTTGCAAATTTGAGACCAGCTTGGTGTACATAAGGAGTTCCAGGCCAGCCAGGACTACATAGTGAAACCCTATGTCAAAAAAATTGAAAAAGAGAGAGAGAAGGAGGGAAAGAAAGACTTTCAAAGTAAGTGACCTTCTTGATTAAACTGTACCTTATTACAAGAAAGGACAAAAAGATAATGACAGATGATAATCAGGAGTGACAACTGATAAATAGGTATGAGAAAAAAGAATGAGTGTGTGATGTAACAAGAGGAGTTAACCAACCAGTTTGGCCAAACCAAATTCCAATAAAAAAATTCTATTTAGTATCGGAATTATCTGGATGTGATGTTAATCATAAAATTAAATAATTTTCTTCTTTCTTGTTATGTTATCTAAACTGTTTCTGTAACGTGACCTCAAGAGACTAATACAATACCTAAGAAGTGCAAATAATCATTGCCAGGCCCAGACAGTTAAAAAGCAAACAAACTCAGCTGGTCTGGAAATGGTACATCTCTTTGACCCCAGCACTCAAGAGGCAGAGGCAGGCAGATCTCTCTGAGATCAAGACCAGGGCTTGATTAAGCGCAGAGATCAACAGGTACATAGAGAGACCCTATCTCAAAACAAAAACAACCAGACTGTTGACCAATTGGGTTAAAAAGTAGTTTAGTCAAATTCTAAAACTAGAATGACTTAAAACACATATAGCGTTAGGACACTGTACACCCTGCTCATTCAAATACATGTCTTAAACTTGTATTACTATGTAATATAGGATGTACATGAACTTCTATTCCTCCTGTTTCTACCTCCTGAATGCTGAGGTAACAGGCACCTCCACCATGCCTTATCTTATGTAGTCCTGGGAATGCAACCCAGAGCTTCATGCACACTAAGTAAACACTCTACCAACTGAGCTACATCTCCAGCTCAGTAACCACTAACTTTTGTACAACTAAACAACTCAGTTCATTTTAAGCCCATTTCCTTTTATGCAGGAAACAGGGCTTGTTCAGAGAATGCCTCTGGGGTTACTGGAGACTGATATGTGGCTAGCACAGTAAAAACTTTAAACAGCCAGTTAATTATGAAAAGCAAGTCAGTGTTAAGCAGCATCCACCAAATAATTATTTGAGATACATCACACATATAATTCATTGAGACATTTCACACGTGTAATTTACAACAAAAGACATACAATCTTGTTAATAGGCTGCTTAATTATTAGCCTTATAAAATTATATTTGGTCTTATAATTAGATTTTTACATGCTACTCTGTGAAGTTCTGGTCTATAGTCTGTAATAGGAAAGAATCTGACAACCCAAATGATGCTGGGGCTTCACTTTTAAAAATTATTCCCCTAAGCACACATAAAAAATCATCTGCCGGGCGGGCGTGGTGGCGCATGCCTTTGGTCCCAGCACTCGGGAGGCAGAGGCAGGCGGATCTCTGTGAGTTCAAGGCCAGCCTGGTCTACAAAGTGAGTTCCAGGACATCTGGGGCTACAGAGAGACCCTGTCTCAAAAGACCAAAAAAAAACCCAAAAATCATCTGAAGGGCTGGGCATGTGGCACACACCTTTAATCCCAGCACTCAGGAGACAGAGGCAAGCAGATCTCTGTGAGTTCGAGGCCAGCCTGGTCTACATAGCGAGTTCCAGGCCAGCTGGGGCTACAGGGAGACCCTGTCTCAAAAAGAACCCCCCCCCCAAAAAAAAGTCATCTGAGGAGCTGTAGAGATGACTCAGCAATTAGGAGCAGTGGCTGCTCTTGCAGAGGAACCAGGTTTGGTTCTTAGCAGCCACATGGCTGCTACCAACCTACCATAACTCCAGTTCCAGAGGATCTGATGCCCTCTTCTGGCTTGAACAGGTATTGCATGACACAGGTACACTTACATACATGCAGGCAACTCTTATACATAAAATAAAAATAAATTTAAAAAAAAAATTTTAATCTCCAAATACTATAGTTAAGGTTTCCACTCTGGTGTTTGTGTCTGTGTGATGTGTGTGTGCATGGGGGAGGGAAGGATGGGTGCTGCACTCACCCATACGTGTGAATGTGGAGGCCAGAAGTCCACATTAGTATCCTAGTATCCTCTTCCATTGCTTACCATCTTTTTTTTTTTTTTTTTTTTTTTTTTTTAAAAAAAAAAAAGAGACAGGGTCTCACTATGTATTCCTGGCTGATCTAGAACTGGCTATGTAGACCAGCTAGCCTTAAACTCACAGAGATCCTCCAGCCTCCATCTCCTGAGTGCTAGAAATAAAGGTATGCACCATCACACTTGGCTCTCTTTATTTTTTGAGAGAGGGTCTCAAAAACCTGGATGTTGCTGTTTTGATTAGAATGGATGGCCAGTGAGCCCCCTGGGACCCCTGTTTCCCCAAACACATCCCAACCCTGGGGTTACAGATAGATACCACCAGCCTGGCTCTTATGTGGGTGCTAGGGACCCAAACTCAGGTTCTCTTGCTTGGACAGGAAGCACTGTACCCATTGGGCTGTCTTCCCAACCCTTCATTCTTTTCATACCTCACAATAAGGGTAAA